ATTATTATTCAACATAGATTTGTTATCTTAAAGGAGAGGTAGATTGTTGGCCTCATAAGCTCTAAGTGTGACGAGCTTATTATTATGATTTCAATCATATGAATGCATCAATTTAATGCTTATTTGAGTGACACAAGACTAAGAATTATAATAGAATTGATGCGTGATAGAAAATTCGTCGCGGGAGAGTAACGGACTATCGTCTTAGCGTTGTACGAAAGTTCAGCACACAAACAGATGAAAGATAAAACAAGCAGTGATGATTTCATGACTCTAAAAATTTTTACGTGAAAAACCGGTAAGGGAAAAACCCACGAGGTCTGACCCAATTGCGGAAATCCACTATTGATTGATGATTACAGAAATTCCTTGCCCCACAGACAGGAAAGAGTAACTATATTTTTCAGATTACAATGTCGACAGACGACGTTTGGTTGGTGGTGATTGATGACGTTAGGTGGAGGTTGACGACGGTAGGCGGTGGTCGTCGGGGATCGACGACAATTGACGATGGCAGTCAGCGGTGGTCGACGACGGAGGTCGAATGTTGAGCTGCCGCTTCTCCTCAAGACCTCAGGCTCTCTTTAGACTTCCTCCACCCTCATGAGAGGGATGAAGCTATGAACTATTTTGATCGAACGGTCCAAAGAGCTTCCCTCGATCATACGACTTTTAATGGACATTTGAGTGTCTTAATGATGTCAGAATTGAGTGATTTTGGGCTTGTTGAATTCATCTTGTCGAGTCGCTTGATTTGAGTATAAACATGTCATATTTGACAGACGTTTGACTTTCCAAATTTATTTATAAATCTTCTAACTGTGGTTTAATGACTTGATATGGGTTTGATTTGACTTTGATTGGGCTAGTTTTCATAACATTAGGTCTGTTTCGTTGAACATGTTAGTTTGACTATAACTTTGCTGAAATCAGAGCTCTGGATGACTTTTTATCAAGATTTGAATGTTTTTTGCTTATTTATCAAGATTTGAATGCTTTTTATCAAGATTTGAATGTTTTTTGCTTAAAATATCATCTCGAGATTCGTGTCATGCCTCGAAATTCGTGTTGGATGATGAAAATTTGTTGATGGTGTATCAAGAATATTAATGAAAACATCTAAGGTTGAAGTCGGATCTAGCTTGGTCAAACTTATCAAAGTTAAAACCAATTTATTAAGGAGACACTACATACATATCACCCAAAACTCGCTATTTACAAATCAACCGTCCTCTTTCTTCCAATTTAAAATTTTCGCTCAAATATCAAAATCCATGGTAAAAACTCCAACCCATATTTTTCATTATTATCAAATTCTCATTAGTCAGGTCGCAACACGCGGTTCAGTAGTTCAAATAAGAATTCACTCTGTGTGCTTAATTTGTGAATATCAATGTTTTAGGTGATCTGCATGTAATTATCCCATTGATTAAATTATCTTGACAATCTATGCTGCAAATTTCTTGAACCTTTATTGTAATTCTTAATTGATTGAGGACTTTTATGGTTTTAATGTATTAAAGAACTTCTTAATTACCATTATTGTCAAAAAAATTCATAAAACAATGTTGTTAACTGCTTAACCTTCATTGAATATTTCTCAAATTATATAACTAACCGTATGCTCTTACATAAATTTTATGCGGTGGCGTGTAAGGTTTACCGTTTCTCATTTAATACAACATTTACGGCCTCACATGTGCTTGCAAGCATACATAACAATTGAAAAAGACTATAGAGGATATGCTTTGAATATCAAAACATGACGATATGAATGTGTATGAATAAAATTTGATCATTTTTTTTATTTATGTTGCTTGCAAAGAAAGTCGAGTGATGAAGAGCGAATAATCGATACTCTTTTCCGTGCTCGAGGGAGGTGTTGATATGTTATTGTGCACAACTAGAACAAACTTTAAGAGACCAAAATGTTTGATGTTACGTTAATGGGGATGGCATGCTTCAACCTCATCAATTATTGTGTGCATCGATATTTATGGCAATGATGAGAGACATGATCGAGGGGTGTCAGTGTTGGTGTTGAAGGTCCTGATCAATTGGATAAGAGATGTCATGCTTCAACGGTGTCATCGTGCATCATCCTAGAGGCAATTACATGAGTCGATTGCATGCATCAGTATGCGTCTACAGCGAGAATCAGAGAATAATTACATAAATTAAGCAATGTTTTAATACATTGTGTTACAGTCCACAACCTTTGTCACCCAAAGCCTCCTTTCACATCTCCCCACGATTTTATGATTGCCACCCCAACCGCCCCCACCAGTTTCTACAGATGGCTTTCTAAAATGCCTATATATATATATATATTAATGAGACTAGCCAAAGGATGCCAAAACTATTTTGATTCAAGTCCAATTGAACCCAAGTCAAATATTTGGATTGATGCATGGTTAGATACACTATGACACAAATTGGGGGATCAAATGACCTTCAAAATCAAGTGCTTGTAGCCAAAATAAATCTCTGAATATATAGGAAATGTTCAGCAACTTTAAGATCATTCAATTGTGGAATCATTAATTTATAATTAAAATAATTAATAATATAAGCCATTTGATTGAGTGTATCAAAATTTTGGATAAAGAACCCGAGTATTGTCTCAAAAGTTAAAAATAGATTCTCATTCCCTATATTAAATAAATATAAATTTGTAGAGAGTTTATAGATTAAAAAAAATGATGTTAATGCTTTGTTTGAGAAGACGTTGATCCTTAATTGCATTTTAGTGATTGTTGATGCGTGTGAAAGTCTTCTTTTGGTCAAGCAACACTTGTCGAGCATCTCCTTGAGTTGTTCACAAGAACGACAATCATTTGTCATTTTGGACCACATAAGATCTTCCCAATTCCGCCAATGCACCTTTCAAAAGAATTTCGTTGAACAAAGAAGCTAGTTCAAACCAAGCCTAAATATGACACTCAATGCTGATGATTAGTGCTTACATCCATCATCACCCGTCTACCTCTGCTCCCTCATTGTTGTCTGAACGTAGATGCCTATCTTTCATTGCTTATTTACCATCACCTGATTGTTAGCATACTGCTCATTATGATTTTCATAGTATTCTTACTCCTAACCAATGTTATTCTCCAACATCTTATTTTAATAGGGCTCATAGCTAAATATGTGCTATTTTTCATATGATATTTGTAAATAATAAAATGAAAATTTAAATATGAGATAGATAAATCCGTAAGAATTGAATGTTATGTATGCAATTTTCCCTTTTTTTTACTTAAGGTCAGTGCCATATAAATTTCCATAGATATTGAAACACAATTTTAAAGATTTTTTTTGAATAAATTATATTTATTAAAATATATTTAGTATTTAATAAGCTAAACATATGCAAATTTTATATTAGTTTCTTATCGATTTATATATAAAATAGTAATATAAATTATTAAAATTTATTTACTATTACTAAAGAATATGTTTTGAAGTTAGTGATAATTGTGTTAATTTTTCATATATATTGATACACAAAAAATTTAGGATTTTTTTAATAAAGTAAATTATTTTTTATTAAAAGATATTAATAAGTGTTTAATAAGCTAAATATATGCAAATTTTTTATTAGTTTCTTATTAATTTATATACAAAATAGCAATAAAATTTTTTAATATTTATTTACTTTAAACTAAGGAATATTTTTAAAATTTAGTTATAATTATAATAAATTTTAATAGATCGATGCTTATATTATAGGATTTTTTTTTTTATAAAATAAATTATTTTTTATTAAAAGATATTAAGTATAATATTGCCCGAATACGTACTGCATTGATTGAAATGAAATGAAAATTTCCCAAATGCAAGATTCCAATGTTATTACATCAACAATCAATTGAAAAATTGAAATAACAAAACATAACTTTTTATTTACATTTATACCATTCATACTTTAATATCACATAAATAAATCATTAATTTAATTTTTAAAAGATAAAAAACAATGCTTTCCACTCATATATAACTTCGCATATACATAAAAGTTAAAATTCAGAAGTTAGATATGTAAATACATAAAAATATAGTGGACTAAATGTAAATCTTCCAAAAGAGGCAATTACATATAGGCCACCCTAAACTTGCTATTTACAAATCAACCACTTTCATCTATTTTTCAAATTCTCACCCAAAAATCATAATTGGGAAAAAAAAAAGGAAATTAATATCAATGTTTTGGGTGATCTGCATGTAATTATTGAAAAAGAAAATGAAATTAATATGTAATTTCTATATTTATGTAAAGATAAATATGCATAAGATCAAAGATTAAAAAGTAATTAAATGCACCTCCTTTTTGGTTGGGTGGACTAATTTCCGCCCAACGGTACTCCCTTTCCCGCCCCCTTTATCGCTGTAAAGCTCACTATGGCTATGCACAAAAAAAATACTGGTTTCAATGCCCCCAACAACCACCTAATAATGCCCATAAATGACCCAAAAAAAAAAATAATAATAATAATATTATTATTAAATAAATCCCATAAATTCCACCGCCCTTCGCCTATCCGGATTTAATAAATAAAACTATATTTGTAATAATTGGAAAAATATGTTTTATGATAAGCATTAAATTTTGCCAAATTCTGTTAGATATTTATTGTAAGATTTAATATTCATTTATAGTTTAAATCTATTTATTTATTTTTTTAAATTGATAAACTTTAATTGATCAGCTGTATCTCACATTACATACATCTAACTGCTGGACATTTACTTATATACCTAGCAATTTTTATGTATTTACATATCCTCTACAACTAAATTTTTATTTTATTTTATTTTATTTTATTAAAAACTAAATTATCCAAATAATAATTATTTTATTTTATTTTATTATATTTCACAACCAGTGCTCTGCTCTTCCATTATTTAACTGGCTCAAACCTTCACTTCTCCCAGCTAAACTAACTAGACCCCCGCCACCTCTTCCAGTTGCATCATGGCCGTTGAAAACGGGGAGCAAGTTGCGCCGCCCCCGGCGGCTCGGCAAAGCCACAGAGAGCCGTTAAGGTAGCAGAAAAATCAACCGTGCGGACGAGAAAGCTGCCGGAAAATCCGAAGGTAGAGCTGGCTACTTTCGATCTGCCATACATAACATTCTACTACAATCAGAAGCTTTTAGTTTATAAAATAATGGCGGAGGAGTTCGCGACGGTCGTGGAGAAAATGAAGGAAGCTCTGGCAGCGGTGCTGGAAGAGTTCTATCCGCTCGCCGGAAGGCTTGCGCAGGATGAAGAAGATAAGGTGCTGTATGTTGATTGTGAGGGGGAGGGAGGGGTGGAGGTGGTGGAGGCGGCGGCGGAGGAGGTGGAGGTGGCGGAGCTTGCGGTGGGGGAAGCGCCGGAGGAGCTTATGAAGGAATTGGTGCCGTACACTGGTGTTATGAATCTGGAGGGGCTCAGCCGACCGTTACTCGCCGTTCAGGTTACCGTGACCTCTGCTTTTTTACTTTTTCTCAGTGCTCCCAAGAAAGATATAATATTTGATATCCAACCTTTTTTATTTACAAAATTGTTATCCCTTTGCCTATATTTTGCAAAATATCACTCATTGGTGTTAAATTTCATTTAAAAAAAAACTAAATCAATTTTTTTAATTTTTTTTCAAACGTTTTGTGATTTAATTATATTATTGTAAATAGAAAAAATTGAAATTTTATGTAGATGAGATTCTCAATTAATTTCTTCACATTGGAGTTTTACAGTTCTTATTATTTTCTTTTGATAAATATATATATATATATATATATGAGTTGGGATTTTACCATAAAATTTGATACTTGAGAATTTGAAAAATGGACGAGAGAGGTTGGTTACTTTGTAAATAGAAAGTTTAGTGTGGTCTATATGTAATTGTCCCGTTTTAAGATAATTTCATGATATATATTTTTGTGTGTGTGCGCGTGCGTGCTGTGGTCTGTTGGTAGAGCAGAAAGTCGTGAGTACCCTTAGGTCCTGGGGTTCAAATCTCCCCATGTGCAGGGTATGCTACTCAAATATTTAGCATACCTAGGGATATATATATATATAATAAGATTTTGGGTGGGAAAAGTATGTGAATCTTAGTTACATTTATGGTTGATTTGTTAAATAAATAAATTTTTTAAGAGTTCAATTAGATCTAATTAGTGGTCTGATTTGGTTCGGCCAATTCAGAGCCCAAATGTACTTGAATTTGCATGATTCTATAATTATTAGATTTGTCTCAATAAAATTCATCAACTTAGAGACCATAAATTTAATAAAATTGCAGTCCATTGAGTTCGAATCAATACATTCAATTTTTAGTTCTTATTTCTAAATTTATGTGCAAATTGGTCTTCTTTTTTTTTTCTTACAAGTGCTCAAATTGACATTAATGCGTTAATATTGCCGACAAAACGAAGATGTACCATAACATTTTGATATGCAATTTGGATAAGGATATTATTTCATCACGTACGTGTTTGTCATATCGCCGACAGCTGACAATACTCATTTTTTTATGTAAATATAATTAATTAATTATTTATTTTAAATTAAGCTAAAGGTCTTCATTGGAATAAACTATATTTTGATGGCTTTTTCAAAGAATTATCGTTGAAATCTGTGTTATCTCATCACTCTTGACTAAGTGCAGTGGTAATTTTCTTATTGCAGTCTGACTTAAGAAAATTTTATGATAACTACCACAGTTTTTCAGCATCAAATTATTATTTAACGGATTGACAATTATTTTTTAATAAGCTGAAACTGACTGCTTATATACAGTTATATTAGTCAAAATAATATCTTTCCCTTTTAAAATCAAACACTAATAGTCCTTAGTGACAGCTATCTTGATTATTTTATGAATTATGTGGCTACTAAAATGATCTCAAATAAATAATTTGAAATTATTTTAATGATTTTTTTTATCTCGAATTAAGTTATATATAAGTAAACTCAATTTTTTAAAATATACGTCAAAATAAACATACCTCAATCAATGTATAATTTAATAATGTATCATTTAATGAATCATTTGGTAGGTATCTAAACCTTCTAAAAGGCTCTGCAAATTAAAGTTTTACTTTTGAACTAATTATTTAATGACAATTTTAACCACAGTTCACAAAGCTGAAGGATGGGATAGCCCTGGGCTGCGCATTCAACCACGCCATTCTAGACGGGAATTCCACGTGGCAGTTCATGACGTCTTGGGCCCAGCTGACCCGAAACGAACCCATCTCCGCCCATCCACTTCACAACCGTTCCCTGGCCCGACCCGCCCGAATCCCCCTCACCCTGCCCATCTCCCCCGCCGCCCACGAGCTCGCAAACCCTAACCCCATTCCGCCTTCCTCCCTCATCGCCCGCGTATTCTCCTTCCCCGAATCCACAATCCTCCGCCTCAAATCCGCAGCGAATTCCTCTCTCCCCGCCGAAACCAAACCCTTCTCCACCTTCCAATCCCTCGCCGCCCACTCATGGCGCTCCATCTCCCGCGCCCGCCGCCTCCCTCCCGATTCCATCACCATCTTCGCCGTTTTCGCCGACTGCCGGTCCAGACTCCAGACTCCTCTCCCCGATTCCTACTTCGGCAACCTCATCCAAGCCGTCTTCACCGGCACCGCCGTTCATCCCCTCCTCACCTCCCCGCCTGAATTCGCCGCCGGACTACTGCAGAAGGCCATCGAATCCCACGACGCCGCCGCGATTCAATCGAGGCTTGAGGAGTACGAAAAGAATCCGAAGATGTTCTATTACACGGACGCCGGAGTGAATTGCGTTGCGGTCGGGAGTTCGCCGAGGTTCCCCGTCTACCATGTTGATTTCGGGTTCGGGAGGCCGGAGAGAGTGAGGAGCGGGAAGAACAATAAGTTCGACGGGATGATGTTTCTGTATCCGGGGAAGGATGGGGGGAAGGGGATTGACGTGGAGCTGACGCTGGATGCGACGGCCATGGACAATCTGGAGAAGGATGGAGAGTTTCTGGCTGTCGGGGGAGATGATGAGCCGTGATGCTGAGAAGACTTCTTCTGCTTGCTTCTTCTGATCATATTTTAATTTTTAGGGTTTGGGATTTTTATGCTGTATTGGTAGCTGTTGAGGTGGAGTCAGGAGTGTGGGTGTTTGTGTTGATGAAATAACTAAATAAGGTATAATAAGTGTTTAAATTTCATTGTATTTAAGGTGGTTGGTGGAAGTTATGGCACATTTGTAATACTTGGACATGATTTATTAATCTAAATTATGCAACCCTCTCCTTAGATGAAGTATGAACATAGCTAGCCTTTTTTTTTTTTTTTAAGGATTGTCAAGTGGTTATTATACAAGCTTCCAGCCACCTCTAGTGTGTCTAATAATTTGAGTATCACCTCCTTAAAGCCAAATATGTTAAAGGAGATTCAAACCAACATGTCGGGCATGTGACACGTGGCTACCCTTATCAATCAAAACACTACTGGTTTTTTTTTTTTTTTTCCGCACCATGTCTTTGCTTTGGTTTTTTCCTATCCCTCCTTGGTATTAATCTAACTACTTGATACCAATTAGTGCACATCCATTAAATAAGATGAACAAGTTTTCTTAAACTCGTATAATATAATTTATTTAAGTTGAGAAATAAGAGAGGAAAGAAGGTTTAAGAAAAAAGATAATTACATAATTCTTCAAAATGATCTAAGAAATTAAGGGTCTGTTTAGAGGTAGCTGCAGTTTATTGAATAATATGCTGATAAACTGATTAAAAATAGTCTGTTCATAAGTTAGGTGTGGTGCCTATTATAATTTTTTATTTTTTTTGAAAAACCAAACCGTTGTCAGAAAGCTGTCACTGCACCTAGATATGTACGGTGTGAAAATACTGTTTTCAACGTTTTCAAAACGCAGTTTACCCAAACAGGTGAGGTGCATTTTTAAAGCCACCGCACCAAATAAACTACCCCAAACAGACCCTAAATAAGAAATGATATGTTTAACATTTCATTTTGTTGTGTACATATTTTTTTCACTTTCTCATGGCAGCATCTTTTATATATATATATATATATATATATCTCTGTGCATGTGCGCGCGCGCTATATTTCTATATCGAATTAGTTGTATCCAAGCAATCTAGAGGGACTTGGGGCTTCACATTTGTCATTTTCTACAAATAACTTCTAACCATTCACAATAACAATGTAATACTTTTATTATTTCATGTAATATTCTAGAGTATTAAATATAAAAATTATAATAAATTTATAAATATAAAATTTTAGTTTGAAATAAAATAAACACCAACCCCTTAGAATTTGATCATTATAAAAATAAATTATACTTTCCTGGATGAATTTTTGCTGGTTGTATAAAATATAAACTGTGTAAAGCATAAATAAATAAATTGTTTTCTTGATTTTCTTAAACATAAAATCTAAAGTAAGGAAGTTCATCACAAATATGTTAGATAATTCTATTTAATGCACTTTAGGGGGATTTACATACAAGCCGATGGTGCTTTAATCACCAAAAATACCCATCAAAACTTTGTCTGAGGACGAAATATAAGTGAACATGCACATCTCAAGTGTCGACACATAGTACGTTCAATACCATATTGATCACTGATATCTTCAACAACAGCTCCAATAGCAGAGCTTCAAACTTAAGCGTAGCCATGGCTTGCCTTATCGATGGTCGTAAAGCACTTTCTGGGTGCAAGCATCATATCCCAACTATCATAAGCCTCAACATCTCCTCCTTGTTGAATTATGAGTTCAACTGCTCCTAAGCGACATTAAGCAGAGCTCCTCTTCCTTACAACCCCCCACACACAATTAGCATGGTTGGTGTTTTCTTCCATCCGGTTTCGTTTGACCAACTGACGACCATAGGAGAGCTCCAACGCCACCACTCCAAAGCTATAGACCAATCTCTGTCCTCCTTCAACTCCACCTACTGATGTAGAAGATCCATCGACTGTGTCAAAGAGACGAACACTTGACAGAAAAAGAATAACACACAAATAACTTTTGTTTCTAAGTTTCGAAAAAATATTTCTGCTCATATCCTATTCCGCGTGATATACATTCTCATAACTAAGCGAAAACAAATTGCAAGAAAAAAACACTTGTTTACATATTAATGAGTTGGACTTTTATAGAGCTTATATATTATTGAATATAAATTTCCAGACAACTCTATATTCTCTGTTACCCAATAGAACCCTAGACTATGTACAATTCTCAACACTCCCCCTCAAGATGGGCAAAAGAAATCCACTAAGCACATCTTGTCACACAACCTAGATAGATCTAATTAGCTAAGTCCCTTGGTGAGGCACTTAGCTACTTGCTCTCTAGTAGCTACGTGACTTATCTTCAGTAGTTTACTGTTCAACTTCTCCTTGATGAAAAACCTATCACTCTCCACATGTTTGGTTCTATCGTACTGCACCAAATTGCTGACAATGTCAATTGCTGACATTTTATCACACTAGGGATGTCAATTCGGGTCAGCGAGTTGGGTTCGTGTTCGACCCAAAAATGACCCTACTTGAATAGGGTCAACCTGATTGACTCAAGCCACAAAAAAGCCTTAAATGGGTGGATTGGAGCTTCTGGATATTAGAATGGATGTCAAGCTCGCTCTAAATTGGGGGACCGATGTCGTCCAACGGTAACCGCTTTTGAGCACGACCAGGATGGAACAGACCTTCAATCTGGTACATTACATGCCTGTTGATGGCTCTGCAGACTCCTTGAGCTACTGGAGGGTACATATGCAAGTTACATACTACTGTTTTTGTTCATTTCTCTTTTTATTTTTAGAGGAGTTGTCAGCTTGTCGATTGTCATATATTTCTATTTTTTCGAATATATTTTTTTTTCGGATACATGAATGATCGGGAGGAGAAAAACCAGAAAAGAAAAGTCATACGACAAATACGACAAAGAAGAGAACCACCACACAAAGGAACCCACAGTGGGCACAAAGGCACAAAACCAAAAGCCACACGGTCAGGGTAAAGAAACCATCGCTTAAATATTATATAGCACAAAGAAGAAGCGTTGCACAGAGGAACTACCACAAAGAGGTAACAATGAAAATATCAGAGGCATACATTTTTAAAATCAAAGACAATGACATAGTTAATGTAGGGATTACCCAACACGAAGGGTAAACCGCCACACAAATAAACCATAGTACTTAGGAACCACCGCACGAAAAAAACATCACACAGATCACCACACTGAGAAGTAACAACTCATACGGATCAAAAGAACCAACCAAAGTCATAGAGGAGATAGAGGAGAGGGAGAGGAGAACTCACCAAGAGAAGCACAACACAAAATGTGAGAATCACGAGAGAGAGAGAGAGAGGCGTGGGAGGAGAAGGGAGAGAGAGAGAGAGAGAGAGAGAGAGATAAGGCTGCTAGGGCAAGATGTGGAGAGAGGATCGCGGGAAAGAGGGGCAGCCCCGTCAACATTATATAAATGAACACGGGCCGTAGGGTAGAACCCACATCCTCGTTCTGCTCTGATTTTTCATAAAATTCGTCACACATTCAAAACCAAACTCAGAGGCATCATGTTTTTTGGTCGTGCTATGCCCCAAACAGAGCTTAAGCCATAGATAAGATCTATATAAAAGCTCAATTTAGAAAATTAAATAACTACTACAATAATATATATATATATATATATATATATATATATATCTC